TTTTTTAGTTTCAACATTTCTTTTTCAACTTTTTTTCAATTTAGTTTTTTAACTTAATTCTTGTATTAGTAAGTTCTTTTCTAAAATTATTTCTTTAAAAAAAAATGTGTTTTCAATATCAATTAAAACCACATTTCTTTTTATATTTTGTTTTTTCTTTTTAACTTTATCAATAATTTTTATAAGATATTTCATTTTATTTATCAACTTTTCTTCAGCAATTTGTTTTCAAATATTATTTTCTTTAATTTTTCTTATCATAAATTTTTTATCAAATTTTTTATATTTTTCAATGGAGAATATTTGTATTTACAAAATTATTTTTCTTTCTATTCAAATATTTGTGTAATTGTGTAGTTGTGTATTTCAATGTTTTTACACATTTTCTTTTTACAAACTTTTTGTTTTCTACCTTTTCTTTAGTAATTGATTCAACTATTTTATTATTATAATTTTTATATATTTTTACATTTTTTTCAAAACTTTTGTTTTTTTTATTTTTACAAATTTGTTTTTGCATCAAAACTTTGATTCAATTTCTTTTTTAGTATAAAAATATTTTTTTTCTWCTTCCATTTTTTTTCTTTTGTTTTTTGTTATTTTTTCTTAAATATTTTTTTTTAGTGCAATGAAAACCACATTTTTTTTAAGTTTTTTATTTAATTTAATTTTTCCAAGTTTTTTTATTTTGGTTAAACTTATTGTATTAAAAACTTCTTAATCAGAAATCAACTTTTTTTTTTGTACTAAATATTTTTTCAACCTTTTTTCTTGTAATTTTTTGTTTGGTAAAAATTTTACCAACTATTTAATTACAAATTATCCATTTATTAATTTGTTATTTTGGATTTTACTTTCAGGTGTTACTATTCTGCTGTCGCTCACCGTCTTCCTCAACATGGTGGCTGAAACAATGCCCGCCACATCCGACGCCGTGCCACTGTTAGGTAAGCGACAATTATATTCCAATATAAATGTGCGTTCTAAGTGTTCCTCTGTGTTGATTTATTGCCATATAAATGTTAACATATATATAAATATTTTTATTTTCAAAAACATACCTAAATCTAACAGTTGAAACTAATGTAAACTGAATAAATTACTACACGAGCATACTTAGTACATGAAGCACATAGAAAGACACCTAAAAACTGTAGATTTTTAGCTGCAAATATTTTCACTTAAACAAATAAATGTTAATATTGTCTTAAAAAAAATTATAAATTTTCTTTGAAAAAAATTCATAAAGTTTTTTTTTTTAATTTTCATAAATTGTCATTAAAAAATTCATAAACTTTCATAAAAAAAATGTTATACATTTTCAACATTAACCTCACAAATATGGTTCACATGCGATAAGAGCGTCACTTTAGCGTAAAATTCATACTCATGCGTAAAGCACACATACAAAGACATCCATATACAACAACATTTGTTATCTCGTTCACTGTCGTTCTCGCTGTAGTTTTGTTGTTGTATCATTTTCGTGTTTGCTGTGTTAACCAGTTGAGCCGCGCGCAGCTTTCTGCGTCCAGGCTCTAATATAACCATATATTGCTGCCTTATCAAGCATTTCAACAAAAAAAAAAAAAAAAAAGTTATATATACCTATATATGTATATTTAAAACCAATATCGATGATTTTATAATATTAAAACTTTGACACGTTAAAAAAGTAAAAGCCTAAGGCTATAAAAAAACACCAAGCGACAGCTTTGACACATTTTTACTTTGCATGGCCGTTCCAAGCTTAGTGCGCATAGAAGAACAAAAGCCGAACTTTTTCTATGCGAGCCACACTGAGCTTGCCTCGCGCCACGCAATGCAGCTGTTAAACTAAATAATTTAATGGAATTCAGCATAATAAGTTGCAATTATATGCGCTTTTTGTTTAAACTCATAGCAGTTAATTAATATGCACCAACATTTATGAAAACGAAAACTAAAATTAAAACAAAGGAAAATGTAGAAAAACTTTATTCATGCAGTTTAATTAATTTCAACTCATAACTTTATAATAGCAAAATAATCTGGCTACAAAATTATAACTTTTTACACTTATCAGTTCTCTATAATTTCACTTTGATTACAAAAATTACGAGACTATTTGAAAATAACAGAAAAATTCCCATTTTTCTCTTGCATCCGTTTTTTGCTTTGAGCTATCTGATTCAATTTCGTCGCAGAACTGCACATATCGAATTCTTTGCACGTTTTTTATAAATATTTCCATTTGAATATACTATCAATGTGTATTTTTAAACTTTAATATCAATTTAAAATATATATACTTACATACTTATAACCTTAAAAAATATGTTTAAACATTTAAATTCAATATAGAAATAGGCTGAAAAAATATTGCACAATATTACTTGCATTGGCTTTAATATTACTGGCACTTAACTTCGGCAAACGACGACAGAAAAATAGGAATAGAAACACCAGATCCCAAATTAAATGTGAACCAAATTTTAGTTTATTAATCGATTCCAAAAAAAAAAAAAAATAATAATAATACAGATTATTAACTCAGGTATGATATCCGCGATCTTTGAAAGCTTGATGATCCCGCTTCCACTCTGTGGATTCAAATATGAAGTAGCTTATGAGCTTTGTGAAGATATATACATATCTTGAGAAAATCGCAGTCACATTTAGAGCAACCCCAGATCTTTCAAGATTCTAAATTCAGTAGCAGAAATGGAATCCAGTTTTATTCCATGCAGTATTGATGCTTCAGATTGACATTCTTGGATATCATAAACGAGTTGACAAAAGGCCTGCCAAATTGGCTGGAAGTCTCAACGTATTTAACTCAAATAGATTGATTACTTTCCGGACAAACCCTGTAACAAGACTTTATATCAGAACATTACAAAAGTTCAAAACCGTCCGTTGTCTACCTCGTTTTCCTCCTAACAAAATTTGATTATTCAAGAGGACTTATACTCTTTGAGCAGTGACCGATTAGAATTAACTAGCGACCCTTGCTGGATGCGACGAGTTCAGAATACCAACTACGATTGCGGTCGCGCAAATACCTAGAGAATTCACTATATAAGCCGTAAAGGTAAATAAGTACAGTGGATGTCTAGGGACAGATGTATGCCTTTAGGAGGCTCATTGTGAAGCCATCGGGACTAAAATCTCCTCACTTCATCGCTTTGAACTACCTTGCGCTCCTGAGGAAAATCATAAATACAAAAAGTTGTATCTGTGGAACCTCCCATCAAGAAACCCTCGCAATTATCGATTATTTTCATATTCGACATCTTGCATTTGCATAGAAGATTTTTTAATGCCTCTTCATTTTTTGTCTCTTGACAGCTGCTACGTTGGTCACTAAATGGTTTTCCCAGTCTGCTACCATATTCGCTAATTTGACAGTGACCCTTTATTACTCCCACAAGAATTCATATCTAATTCCTTCTGAATTTTAAAAGTCGACACTTGTAGCCCATATTCCATTTATGCCACTATAAAAGCCATCCAAGAAAACCGCAGTTTTAATGGCATATGCAGCGTTTGCCTCATTCATTGAAGTCTTCTTGTGGAAGTTTTAGCCTTTCACAATAACATGATTGATTCATAAACGAGGAATGCACCGAAATCTTAGACCTGTCTCCTAAATTACAACGTAGCCCCAGCATGTGATTCCCATTTCCTATTTGGAAAAATGGTTCCAAGAATATCAAACCTGCCTATGCAGACTGCTGTGCAGTCAACTAGCAGGGGTACTGGTGTTTCAGACTCCCTGTCGGAGAACAGGCACTTTACGCAAGAAGCTAGGCCTATATTGTGTAAATACCTTCAGCTGGAAGTGGTCAGTGTAAGGTGCGACTATAGTATAGTCTGAGTTTAACCCTAGGGATGTTGATTGCATATTTAAACATACTCAGGCTATAGCACTTAGCACTTCCGTAATGCTTATTTAGCCAGATTTAATTATTTATCTCATAACTTTCCCACACTAACTCAATGCTTCCGAATTTAAGTGCCAAAGATAGAAAATTTTGCAAAATCAATCAATTTAGTTAACTTAAATAAAAAAATTTTAAATAAAAAAAAATTTAAAAATTTAATCGAGTTTTGAAACTGGCTGTGTTTAAACCGTTGATGTATGTAATATTAATTGATACCGTATAATCTTCAAGTTGCTATACTCTATATACAAATAGCCTAACTTTTTCCCATACATTTGTAAGAATCCTTTCTGCTCGTTGTAACAATTTATTCAAATCACTTACTCCGTTAAAGTTCAAATAACTAAAAATTATAGAAAAATATTTTAATGGATATAGGCAGTACACAAAAAGATATGAACAGCCATAATCACACACATATCACTTGGATACAGACTTTTATATTAATTACAATTTCATAGTATATAAATTTGTTGAAGAGTAAAAGTTGAAATTTTCTACTTAACAAGTCAGTCAATTGCTCTACTAATGTAAAACTTGTGTATATACTTTTTTCTTTATTCTTTTTTCTACTACATTTCTTCGCTAAATACTAATATAACTCGTGACCCCTAACTACTGCCACTACCATAACCATAACCACGACCACTGAATGCCACTATACGTCACTGTTGAATAATTCAAATAATATAACACAAACTACCGTATGATAATTGTATAATAATTGAAATTTCGAATATCTCTAATATATACGTTATACGCCTAAATGTATGCAACGTTTTTATAATGCGAAATAATGCATTGCAAATAATAACTGTTAAACTATCTGCGCGAAATTTAAAATTTTATATATTGCTAACGTTTCCACTTGTTTCACATACGGTTTATGATTCATTAAAAACTTGCTAAATATTAAAATTCCCTTTGCACCAATAAACTCACAAACAATTTCCCCCCATAAACGACTGTTCACAAACTATCAATAAAAATATAACAAAACTTTCATTTCCAAAAAAAAAAAAAAAAAAAAAAAAAAAAAAAAAAAAAAAAAAAAAAAAAAAAAAAAAAAAAACAATGTTAAATAACAAAAAAATTAAAAATCAAATAAAACAATAAAAAAAAATATACAAAAATGAAAAATATGAAACTCACACGCCCAACCAACCAACAGGTACATATTTCAATTGCATAATGTTTATGGTAGCTTCATCCGTTGTGTCAACGATTTTAATATTAAATTATCATCATCGAAATGCTGATACGCACGAAATGTCCGAATGGGTAAGTTTTGTTAATGCAACAACAGCAAAAACCACTACTACTACAAGTACAAGAAACATTCATTCATTCAATCAATCAATCAGTCAGTCAATCACATGAAAGTGTTCAGAGCAGCTTTAACGAAAGCAAGTCGTCAGTATTTACTATGTGTTAAGTAGTAGTGAAAACGCCTGAAAGTATGCAAGGTTATGCTAAAAATATTCCTTTTGCCTACTTTTTGTGTTTTCGCCTAAGTGTATGCTTGTGTTTTATGTTACACTGTGTTTGCTTCGTTTTGCCTTTTACTGTTGTGTCACTAGTGAATACTTTTGAATTTATTATTTCTATAATTACAATTATTTATTTATTTTTCCTATACATATATGATTTCATGCTGTAAATTTGGTTATTTTTTTATTTTCTTCTATTTCGTGTCCATGTGAAATGGCAGCGTAAATAAGTCGCACATGCTCTTGTCGTTTGATGCCAAAAAGTAGGCTACTAAATGCATTCAATGTGTGAGGCACAAATATATATAATTAATATATACATTATATGTATGATATATATTAGGAAGTCGAAAAAGGCTTTTCGTATTTTGTCAATAGATGTCGTTGCAATCGTATATCCCCTGTGCTATTAATCACATAATGCTATACCACATATTTCAAACACTGACAGATCCTAACTAACAAAGTCACATTATTGCTGTTTTAATACCGACAAAATTCTGCCGAGTTGACAGTCGTTGGCCGCATAAAAAACCATTGTCCGTTCCGATTACGTAGACGCAACTATCGTGGAGACAGAAATTCACATTATTTTCAAAAAATTTTAAAGTAAGCGAATCAACTTCATTTACTTCTGCAGCCTCATAATTTATAATAAAATACTATATTTGAGAATATTTCGATCCTCAGAGTAGCTGCATAAATCAAGTTACATAAAAACTACTAATCTCTAGCAATCGTTTCACATTTCCATGTGGCATCATCACAATTTTCTTTTGACAAATAAAATGCACTAGTTCGTGTTAAGTCCGTGTAACTTATATGTATTTGCCTGTTGTGCAGCATACTGTAAGGCGCGATGCTCAAATTATTGTTTCTCAGTTCTATGCTGTCCATAGTGTCTTTGAAAGGTGATTTTTTCTAACTTGCTTTCAAACGAAATTTATTTTTACCAGATCCCTTCCGAAGAGCCCACGTAGCTAATTTCTATTTGCCTACTATGCAGCATACTTTATGGCGCAGCGCTAAAATTTTGGCCACCTAATTCTGTGCTGTCTATATTTCTTTCACATCCATTTCAAGAGAAATTTATCTTTTCTTATAATTTTTTAATGTCTCTAACTCCCATCATTATTTTTTTTATATTGCTGTTATTGTTAGATATAAATATATATATATATTTATCATACCCAACAAAAACAAAAAAATAAAGCATAAAAATATGAAACGCGGCTATTTACAGCAAAAAAAAAAAAAAATATCAGAAAAAAAGATAACGAAAGAGAAAAAGAAAACAGAAACGAAACAGTGGTAAAATGTAATACAAAGAAGTCGCTCGCTAATGTGTGTGTGTATTTTTGTGTGTTGTCGTTAAACGTCCACTGCCTACTATAAATGTAATTTATGTAATGAAAAATATCGTAATGTTGATGTTGGGCCCCTTTCAGCGTGGCAAGCAGCGTAGTCACGTTAATTAATTACAAACCCGATAACTTGCGTTTGTATGTATGTTTCCATTGCCGCAACCGAACCGTACGGCATGTGTATGTGTACGTGTGCACACTCGACGTTGCGGGGAGTGTGCGCGCCCAACGCAATACCATTTTATTTGAATCGTATAGCATTTTATAGCTTTTACATAATATATTACAAAGTAAAAAAAGCTTATATAAAATGCTGTAAAGAAAAAAATATTTTTAAATGGTGTTTAACTGATTTAAAGTGTTTTATTAATCTACAGTATTAACTTATAAAATAGCTATAAGTTTCACTATGCTTGTACTTTGTTATTGAGCATACTACTAGGCGTGCTGACTCTTTGCTTGCAGTTTCTATGTCACACTTTGCAATATTTCTTATTTGGCTTTTCGTAACAACTTTCGCTATTTGAGTATAAATCAGTTATAAAAATTATTAATTTTCTATTTAGAAACATATTTATTTGTTTGAATTAAATGTTCTTTCCTAATAATTAAGGTTAGCTGTTTTTTCACGTCGATACCAACCACTTAGCTTACTAGTTTATTAAAACTGTATGTTTGAAATTTTTTTTTGTTTTTTTTGAGTAATTCGTTTCAGTTCGAAAAAAATAACAATTTTATAAAGCTGTCTTCGCCATTTCTCTGCTCACTTGTGAAAGCAACAAAAAGGTTATCTAGTTTAATTGGCGCAATGAATTATGGATGCCTTATTAAAGTGCTACAAACGCTACCTTCAATGCTACCAGGTTTATATCGGCTATCTTTAAAGCTACCAAAATTTTGTTCTGCATATTTTCCATGACTGCTATTGAAAGTTTAAAATCCCATATGAGAATGGAAATTTATATTGTTTTCATGTTATTTAAAAACTAAGACTTAAAATCAATTAAAGTGACTCTTAGAAAACAAAAGAAAGGGTTACAGGAAAGATTTTGAATGCAGAAAACGGAAAATTTTCACCAAGAATCAAAAATAATGTGTCAAAGGACACATTAGAGTAGGGTTGCATCACAAGTGCTGTCCGTTTTTTTTTTTTTTTTTTTTTTTTTTTTTTTTTTTTGTTGAACATCTGACGTAGCTGCTCTTCAACGTGGTAAATAAAAGACAGTTAATAATTCGATTACTTACCGTATTTTAATGGGCACCACAAGTGTAGTAAAAAGTGTTTGGAATATAAAAAACAAGTATTATACACACGAGTATTTTAAAAATTCACGGAACAGTTTTTGAAGAAAAAATTTTATTTCTCGGTCCCCTCCGTGGATAAGACCTAAAGATAAGTCGTTTTGCCGCAAACGTATTAGTGCTTGTTGTGCACTCTCCAAGGGGCGACCATTTGGTATGGCTAAGAGCCTTGGCGAATACTAATTATTAAAGTTGTGTTGGATCTCAAGCAGGAAGTTCAACTGACCTTGGCCAAGGCGACTAAAGCACTAATGGTGTGCAATCGGCTGGAAAATCATTGGGCTGCAAGCCAAGGGTCGTTAGGTGGTGGCACACCATGATCGTTCGACCGATAATCATATATGAGGCGGTGGACCAGGCCTCAAAAGCTTTGTAGACTTCGACAGGGCACTTGTCTGAAGGCAGCACTTGAAGTAATGCTTGAGCTCGCCCCACTTCATATAATGATCGGTTAGCGCACACTGCTACTCAAGGATGTGGCAGACGTAAGGTAATCTCGTGGCAGCTGCCTGATAAAAAGCTCTAAGTCTCCAAAAAAACAAAAACAAACAGTATTACCAAATAATAGCTTCACAAAGAAGTTGAAGTGGTACACAGATGACTCGAAACCGCGGAGGGAATCGGTGCAGGAGTAGCAGGACCACACACCAATCTCTCTATACATAGGGGAAATTTTGTGAGCATTTTTCAGGCAGAAGTCTTTGTCATAAGTTGGTGCATAGAGATAAACCTCCAAAGCAACAATTAACAGTCAAACAGGAATAAAGGCAATCTTCTTCTATGACATCAAAACGCTACTGGTGCAAGAGTGTATAGAACGACTGAATAGCCTAACGGAACGTAATCAAGTGCATCTCATTTGGGTGCCAGGTCACAAAGGTATAGCTGGGAACGAATTAATTTATGAGCTCGCCCACTCCACGCTGTGGACGTTTGACAATTGTCGATTGATGGTTAGATTTTGATAGTGTTGGAACATCATTTGGCTCAGCCATAACCATTTGAAGCATGTTTTGTGTCTGAAACGTGTCAAGTCTGGCTTGCTGCCATCAACACGATAATGCGTCATGTCATTTTGCCTTGGTTCTACACAACTTTTTTGCCCTATCATTCCGCAATCACCATATTTGTCTGATTTAGCATGCGACTTCTTGCTATGCAGCAAACTCAAAAGGCTATTGCGGGCGTGAAGGATAACTCGAAAAAAGCTAATTCGAACTGTTTCGAGGTTTAAGAAAGTCTTGGCAAAAGTGAATTTTATAGGATGGAGAATACTTTCAAGAGATTGAAAATGATTTGTCGGAATAAAAAAAGAATTTACTTCTTGATCAAGCTATAGATAAGTAAATGAGGATTGCACCGCCACCTAAGGTACATTGCGCCCTCGATCTAGACATAGCCTGTTGAAATAAGAAAATGATTTTTTTAAGAATTTCACACTTGCTGTGCTCCTTTACAATTTTCACAACAGCAGCCAAAAATCAGCAAAGTAAAGAAAAGTCATTAATTACTTATTCCAACCTTTTTTTAATTACCCTCTTCTACCGATTGAAATATTTAATTAACGAAATGACTGTGTGCATAATAATGCACAAATTATTGCAACACATTTCCATTTAAATATCCCTTATCCAAGAGTTACACGCATCACTGTCGGTATTGTAGGCAATTACCACTGTTACTAATTATGGAAAAATCGCTTCAAAACATCGATCTTCCATTTACGCGCGACAACTGTGTTGATGGCAACAAAATCCCTTCAATTAAATTACGCCTACTTATTTATGCGAAATTGCTTCGGCAAAGGCAGAGTGATGCCACACTACAGAAAAGGCTTGCAGCCAACAACCATTGAGCAATTCAATTAATGGCTGCAATGACGGTGGCAACAACAACAACAAACAGAAAAAGGAAAATAGTCAGATAAATTTCATGAATGTATTAAAAAGTATTTTATAATATTTACGAATGCATAAAAAACAATTGAGGTCACCAATATGTGGCTCGCCACAGCAATGGCTTCCTGTTTGTAGATATGCCACACAAACGCACGCACAAAAATGAGCGACTTATCAATCATTGTGTGTTGAAAAAATTGGGAAAGGCTTAAAAGTGTGTGCGCAGC